GAGTCCTTACCCATGGAAGCATAACTACGTGAACCACAGTTTGGGAGTCACTTTCAATGGTGACGCGTAGTTCCAGTATTGCCTTTCTGCCCCAAAGAGCTGCATCTCTGGCTGCTAAAGCTTTTACCATGAGAGGAGTCATTCCTGATATCCGGTGTGACTTGAGCCTTCTCTGACTGATCCATCATGCTCCCTTGCCAATGGCTAAAAACAAGCAGTGTTCTTCTGAACCTATTGCAGCATCAACGTTGATCTTGACCTCTCCTTCTTGTGGTGGGGATCATCTGTAAACTTGTTACATGGTTGAAATTATTGGAACTGGGGGCATTAATCTGGTGATCATATGTAGCTCTAAGCTCACACAAAAAGAGAGTCAATGTCCTGGAGGATTTTTAAAGGGTCCAACTGGTTTGTTCTAGAATCGGACATTGTTCTTCCATTGCCATAGTTTGGATACTATGACTACTGCAAAGTGTAACGATAGAGAAAATGAGGGGATTGAGGGCCAAAAAGGGAGGTGGGATGGAGAGCAGGTGATGGATCCATTGTTTGGAAGCTTAATTCTAGGAAGCGATCAGTGTGCAGACCCCATTATTGTACCAGATACCTCGAGCAATAGGACATAGGAAAGAAAAGATGTAGCTCTGTTCTGGGTGTTGATGGCATAATGGACATGTGATGTTTTCAATGGGAATTCTTGTGTCCAGTAAGCTCTTTGTTGGGAGGCCCTCAGTGATGGCTCTCCAAAGATTTATCTTGTACCTCTCATGAATCTTGGTCTTCCAGAAAATTTTCTGGTTGCCTTGATCAAGGTAATGACTTCCCAAGTCTTGTGTTCCTTTGAGTATTTGATAAGCTGATTTGGACGTAAAGTCACCATTACCCAAGGGGATCTATGTCATTTGATCTTGTCTTGGATATAGGGGGAGGCGAATCTGTTTTATGGCATGTACAGTTTGGTCATTGAGAGGCTGGAAAGAATATCAGCATTTCATTCTCTGTTTTCTTGCTCAATGAGATCGCCACTTTTGCTGGTGGGTTGTCACATTCTTGATCAAGCTGAACTTTAAAACCAGAAATGTTAGGCACCCATGGATCTGTCCATATATTGAGGGATTCTCCATTCCCCACCAAGTAGAATGCACCTTCTTCAATTATTTGCCTGCAGTCAAGTATGTGTTTCCATACACGAGAGTCTTGCGTCTGTTTTTGGACATAGAAAATGAATTTCTGCTGCAATACTTTTTTTGAAATTGTGATGTCCAACGCTTCTGAGAATTTGAGACCAATCGCCACCCCGGTTTCGTTCCACATCACCGGGATAAATTTTGAATAATACTATTGGGACCTAAAAATTAATATAATTTTTTTGACATAATGATGTATCAAACGATAGAGTCCCAATAAAAAAGTCACGAGTTACGGTTATAACAACTCTATTAGACCATATCATTGTCACATCATTAAATCAATAAATTATATCAATTTTTTAGATTTTAATAGTATTAGTCATAAATTTTAGAGTATTTAATGGTTCCTTGTATATTCATTTTGGGACTAGCTTTGCTTTTGGATACATTCCATCATAATTGTATCCTTGTATTGTCATATAGCTTAGGTTATGGGGGGTTATATTGGTTGGTTGGTTGGTTGGTTGGTGTAATATGTTGGTCCTTGGGTTTTTTAGGTTCAGGCTTGTTTGTGTATTAGGGTTTATTTTATGGCCTGGGCTTGGTGGGTTCGGATTTTGTGATAACTGGGGGCTAGGTTTTGGGGTTTGAGGGTATAAGGTTTGGTCATTTAGGGTTTCAATATTCTTCTGAAGGGAGGAAAAAATAGAGCAAGCAGCAATGGGTGAGGATTTAGTATCAGGGCTTGTTACATAATTATCTTCTCAGTAATTTGTTCAACAGTATTGCTACGCCGACTAAAATTAGAGTTAAAATAACATGAGAGCCTAATCAGCTTTTCAAATCAGCTACGTGCCATTTAGTAGGCAAGATTAATATTTGGGTTAAAATCTTTTTTATCTTTTCCGCTTCCACTGTCAGATACCCATCAGACCCACCTTCGTCTCTCTCTCTCTCTCAAAACCGACAAGCAAATGCTCTCTCACAAAATCGAGGACGCCGTCAATGCCATCGTTAGGGCCAAGACTCCCGATCCTGTTCTCTTCATGGCCAGTTCCCCCTCTCTCTCTGATTCTGTTTTCTTTGTTGACTCAGTCTCTTCACCGAGTTGTTTACTGGGTTGTTCCTGCTCTGGTTTTGGAGGAACATAGAGATTTAACATGTGAGATCTCATATGCCCACCCAAAGCTCTGCCCTTGGCAATGCCCTTTAAGCAGAGCTTACACCTATTTTTCTTCATTACATACAAACAAAAACTACTCACAAAATGCTCTCTCTCTCTCAGTTCTAAACACCGATGGTGAGCTACTGAGCCATGGCAGAGATAGCAGGGAGTGTGGAAAGAGAAAGAGCAAGCAGTGCGAAGAGATAGAGAGACATAAAGGTGGGTTTGGGTATTTGACAGTGGAAACGGGGAAGACGAAAAGATTTTGGACCAAATATTAATTTTGACTACAGAATGACATTACAGTTGATTTGAAAATTTGATTAGACCGTTGTGTCATTTAAATTTTAATTTTGGTCTCTAATTTTAGTCAATGTAATATTATTATTTGTTCAATATAATGACAAGTACATAAATAAGAGAAATAAAAAAAATTAGGAAAATACTTTTTGGGGACCTAATTCAATACAACTATAAGATTGATTGTGGGCTCCATTTAACATTGAAACTCACAACTAATTTAATGGTTGTATTGAAACCACATCATTAGGTCCCCAAATAAGGTCTCTATAACATTGCTCAAAAAATTAAAACACGGCTCACAATACCAAGATTACGAGTTTCAGCAAAATTACTTTGTCTATGTCCGTGAGGCGTGATTCAGTCTCTTTTCTTTACTATTAAAAGAAAAATAAGTACAATAGTACAAACCTCACTACTCATGTTTAAATTTCAAACTCAAGCCCTCGATCCCTTATACAACTCACTCAACTTTACCCTCTTAAAACCCCAATAAAGAAACCTCTTGTCCTCTCAACAAAATAATGAAAATTGAACAAATATAAATTTTGGGCTGATCTCAAAAACAAGAGACTTATGCCTATTTTCATAGGGATTTCAAGGTGATGGCTGATGAACTTATTTGTATTTAAACAATACATTTAATTGCTTCACTTGTATTCTCTAATAAAATTTTAACAATAACATCGTCTAACTAATTAAAATTTATTTTATTTTTCCTGAAAGTGAGCCACCACCTCACATTATCCTCTACCTAAATGTCAGACGTGTTGTTTTCAGATGAGAACTATAGTTTGTATACGGGACTTGAGGAGAATTATAAGAACATAGGCATAACCCGTACCTGAAGGTACAATAAAATGTATAATTCGAGTGTCCAAAAAATTAATTCCACTATATTAAATTTTTTCAATATGTGTATATAAATAATGTTTGAAATAAAAATTATATTAACTATAAATTAATTAAATATTAAATTTACTAAACATATGATAGAAATTAGTGATATGATATTTGTAGGGAGAAAATATATAAATAATTAAATATGTGATAAAAATGAGTTATGCGACTCAACTTTTGAGTATGACAGAAGAATGATGGATGAGGTAAGTGATTGGTGATGGTTTTAAGGAGAAAAATATGACTGAGATAAAATTCAAAGTATGAGCTGTTTAATTATATAGATTCATGTTTTATTTTTTGATATCGTACGAAAAAATATAAAAAAAATTCAAAATCTAACAACTTTTATCCCAAAAAATAATAAATTTTACCCAAAAAAGTGATAAATAAGAGAAATTTTTCTATAGGTATTACACATCACCTGGCTTTGCCCATGTGGTATGCACAGCAAATAAATGTCTTCCACGTCACTGTTTTGTCAGAAATTTTTTAAAAAAGACAACTCAGCCACCCAATTGTGTTTATGGACAGAAAGTTAACATAGCAAACTCCAAAAAAAAAAAAAAAGCCTGTCTTTTTTCCTCTTTTCAAATTTCAAAAACTCTAAAATTCAAACCTAACTTTCCATTACCATTTCTTTCTCTCTCTATAAATCTTTCCTCACCTCCATACCCGGAAACACTCTCTCCACCACCCGGGACGCCGACGAGTCCGAGGGCAAAACAATAATATTGCTCCCAGATGACAAAGTATTCTTTGATAAGTACCCATTTGTGATCGTCAGAGTTTCCACAAGCTCCACTGAATTATCCTCAGTCGGGACGACACCATCTGATTTGGTCTCAATTTTCTTCCCGAAATTAAAAGATATCGACTATTTAATACTAAAATCTCCGAATTGGGGCTTGAAGTGGACGAAAAAACTAGAGTTTTGATTTCCAATGAAATTGAACTCGACGCTCATGTTCATGGGGCTAGAACTTGGCGCTTTGGTTATCTCACTCTCTCTCAAGTTGTGTGGGTGGAGGAACAGGTAAGCAATCCTTTTTCTCTCTCTAAAATGAGAAATCATGTAAGGGCAACGGTTGGCCATGAATAAATCAAAAAATTAAAGGTGTTTAGTATTTTTTTTTCTTTACAAGTTGATTCAAGAGTTCAGTATTTTTCATGAAGAATTTCAGAGTTTCAGAGAAATGGAAACAGAGAAAAGAACAAGATGAAGACAGATGTAATTTCTTATCTCTGACTAATTGCAAATGGTGTTAGTTGGTGATGGCAGTAGACTTTTATATATGAAATGAAGGAGAAAATCGTATTTGTTGATTATTTTGTCCATGGTATTGTTTAATCAAAACATGGATTTGTTGAACATGGACTTGAATGTAATCAGATCTGGTTTTTTTCTTTTTTCATTTGTCTGCTAGGAAGTTCTTATGAATGGAACATTGTTAGTTTGTCGTAAGTGGGTGTTATTTGATTTTCACTAATTGTGTTGTTGATTTATATGTTATTGTTATTGAAATTTGGTTTAATGATATGTATGCGATTTATATATTAATTTATTATAGTTTTAATTGCGGATAGAATTATTGAAATGGATTAATGTAATCCATATGGGATTGTACATTCGTGTTGAGCAATAGCAGTTAAACAAAAAATAAAGTATTTAGTTCATCAAAATCATTTCATTACTGATTCCCAGAAGTATATACAAAATTTCTCATTGATTCTCATAAATAATTATTATGATTTTTCTCTTTATTGGTCAGATAGGGTCTAATTATTAAATTAACAAAATATGGAGTGTGATTGACTAGCTAATGGAAGATTAAATGTAAAGTATGAGATTAAAAGAGATTAGCAGTGGTGTTAGTGTAAATAATCAAGGGTGGTGAGTCATAGAATACACTTTTCTTAACCAAAGGCCTCTTAAAATGCATACCACATAGCACTATGTTCAATTACTACTAATAATATTTTTGGCCAAAATTACCAAAAAAAGCCTACCATGTAATCAAATCTTGCAAAACTGGCAGAATGATTACCTTTACATGCTCATTTTTCTATCTCGAAAACCTGAACAACAATAACGCATTTTGCTACAAACAGGAGAGGGGAAAAAAGGAACAAAAACCCCCTCAAAAATATTTTGTTAAATAATTTACAGACTATTTCATCTTCAACAAGATTAATTAAGCAAACAAAAAGTTTGGCTAATGGCTTCAACCTACTTTGTATATGTATATATACTGGAAAACAGTTTCTCTGCGTGGCGGCCACAAATTAGTCTTCTCTGCCCACCCTTGATGAGGCAGAATGAAGGAAGCAGTTGATTGCTGATACACAAAATTAATCTTCTGCTCTATGTTTCTTAGATATTTTTGAACTCGGAACAAAGTCATCATATGATCCATCATTACAAGCTTTATACTCCATCTTGTGCTTCTTGGACTGCTTTGACATAACTGTAGATTTAGATTCTGGTGGCAGTGTCGTCTTCTTCGTTGAAACAGAGGAGGAAAAGGAAGATGTTTTCCTTTTGACAGGAATAGTTTCAGCATTTTTCTTTACGGTCACAACAGCTTTCATCGGCGAGTCTAGCTTATGCTATTGAATCCTTTTCTTTTTCCTCTTGAGAACTTCCTTTGCCACCTCCTTGGAGAGTAAACCAAACTCCATCATCCTACAATCACATTGGAGTCCACTTTATTTCAAAATCACGGCTGAACATACGTGATAGTGATCATTGATGCAAGAAACAAAACTGAGGTAGCTCAATTGAATAAAACTATAGCAAGTCCTAGAATATTGAATAATAAAAGCTTTAAGCAGACTTAAATTAAATTGAATACTAAAAGTTCAAACACTCAAATCAATTGAATAGAAATGTTTCACATAATGTCTTATATGCACATATTATACAAAACATCCATCAACTTTGGTGAAAAGGATCAAAGAGTATACCAACAAGTGCTAGAATCAATCTACGAACAAAAGACATCTAGAGTATAGAACCTAACACTACGAAGGGCCTATCATTCACATGTCAAACATATTGAAAGAATCTTTTTATTTGGGAGAATAAGCAAAATAGAAAAATTTCTTACCAGAAAGCTGTCATTTCGCTATTGGGTGCTTGCTTATACAAAGATTCATAGAAAATCTTCACTGGGTGTCCCTGGAAAAAAGATAATTACAACACACCCATAACTCAAATAGTCCCAAATTAGTTCAAACTAACACACACAACATAATTCAAGGAACAGTCTAACATACTTCATCAGGAGGGTCTCGCTTCTAACCAAGCAAATCACACTCCTTCCTCTTCCTTTTCTTACACCTCTACTTAGCCTTTTTGGCCTTTTTCTTATTTTTCTCCTCCTCCTCCATCTTCTTCTTTTTATGCAACTTTAACCCCAACCCACAACAAATTCAAGAGCCAAACACCAAGACAAAACATATACTAACAACCAAGGATTAATTTCTAAAACAGAGTAAACCCAAGATAAAAAAAAACGTATAAGAGATTTGGAATGTCTTTGGATCTATATATGGAGAAATTTGCCGGTGTCCCGGGTGGTGGAGAGAGTGTTTCTGGGTATGGAGGTGAGGAAAGATTTACACAGAGAGAGAGAGAGAGAAATGGTAACGGAGAATTAGGTTTTGAATTTTAGAATTTTTGAAATTTGAAAAAGGTAAAAAAGACAAGCTATATTTTTTTTAGAGTTTGTTCCGTTAACTTTCGGTCCATAAACACAATTGGGTGGCTGAGTTAGCTTCTTTAATAAAATTTTTGATAAAATAGTGACGTGGAAGACAGTTATTGGCCGTGCATACCACATGGGCAAAGCCAGGTGGTGTGTAATACCCATAGAAAAATTTCTGGATAAATAAACACAAAACATAATATGTAAACTCAAAAATATAAATATCTCAAAAAAATAGTGAACTCCAGTCAAAAAGTAATGTAAATACTCAAAAATAATAATAATGATAGGGTTTTGAGCACCGTAGCCCATGAAACTTGGCAGCATTAAGGCTACTTTTTATAGTCCAATTCACGTGCCACAGCATGCCGAGACTCGAGAATTTAACATCTTTTGCAGTAATCCTATGGTGAATTGGACCCCCAAAGAGGTCCCTATTGGACCATTATGGCATCTAAAGAATGTCGTCGCTCCCAAGTTCAAAAAAAATAAGTGAAAATTAAAAGTGAGTCTTTTTAAATGTACTTGTTTGGAGATAAGTCCTGCAAGAAAACTTATAAGAAATTAAGACTATCTCCAACCCTCCTCTTTAAAATGACTAGTCAAAATATATTTAAATATTATATTCACTACTTTAGTTACCCATTTTTATAAATTCACTTCAACCACACTCTCTATTTTAGCTAACTACTACACCCAACTTTCACTAACTTCCAATAATTTAAAAGAAGTAAAACATATATATAGAGAGATAGAGAAAAAAAAAGTTGAGAGAAAATTTAAAGAGCCCATATGGCTCACCACATTTGGTGAGCCATTTGGGTTAACTAGAAAATAGAGAGTGGGATGGAGAGAATTTTTTGTGTTTGGCTAGCTAAAGTAGCTAAAAAAAAAAAAGAAATAGAGAGTGGATTGGAGATGCTTTAAGTCCATGTTTAAAATTATATGTAATAACTTAAGTCCACTTTTGTTTTATGTCAAAAATACTCTTCTTTGAAATAAAGTTAATCTTTTCTCTCTCATATCTATCTATATTTATATACAGGTTAAGAGTTTAACTAACATTAAAAAATTTTCTCTCTCTTATCTATCTATATTCATATATAGGTTAAGTGTGCATATATATATATACTAACATTAAAAAAAATAGTAACATTCAAATACAAAAAAAAAGTTATTATGAATTTGAATAGTAAAATTCAAATTCATGTTACTATTTTTTTTATTATGTTACTGTTCATATTACTGTTTTTGTTGAGTATGTTACTATTCATGTACTATTATTTTTGAGTATGTTACTGTTTTTGTTGACCATGTTACTATTATTATTTTCCTAAATATTAATATTCAATGTTACTATTTTTTTTTAATATTACCATTTTTTGTATTTAAATGACACTATTTTTTGAGTTTGAATTTGAGAGAAATAATTACTGTTAAGTATGTCACAGTTTTTGTTAAGCATGTTACTACTTTTGTTGAACATGTTAATATTTTTGTTGAACATGTTAATATTTTTGTTGAACATGTTACTGTTGTTATTTTTAAAAATATTAATATTGAATGTTTCAATTTTTTTTTTATTTTAAATGTTATTATTTTTATTGTGTTTAAATGTATTATTTTTTGTATCCAAATAATAACTTTTTTTTTGTATTTGAATGTTACAATTTTTATTTTTAATGTTACTATATATATTATATATATATATATATATATATATATAAGAGAGAGGAAAAATTTTAATATTAGTCAAACTCTTAATATATATATGGATATAGATAGATATGAGAGAGAAAAGATTTTAATATTAGTCAAATTCATAAGATTTAGATGTTTTTAATTTTTAATTTTATTTCACTTCTAAAGGAAAGTGATAGTATGGTAAAATTGACAAAAAACAGACTTCATAACAAATAAGTTTTCTTGACGGACTTAAGTTTAAACAAGTTCATATAGGGGGTCCGACCTCCAACTTTCTCAAAAAAAAAAAAGGGACCAACATGATGAATCCGGACAAGTGCTTCTAAAACCGAAATTTTTTGCACGGTCTCTAAAGTCAAACCATTTAATCAACACACTCTTTAATACTAAACAACCCTTTTAATCTTCACATGTCTCTGTCTCCCCTACATCTCTCTTATTTTCTCTTCAGTCAAATATAAATATTGCATGATCAATATTCAATCTTGAAAGAAGAGGTTGATTGAAATAAATTACAGCATTGAGGGGCTAAATTAGAATAAATAAAAATTCAGGGGTAATTAAAATAAAAATCATAGTTCGAGTGGTATTTATGTTATCCCCCAAAAAAAAAACACAATAAAGAAGGTTGAACCGAGGCAGTGTACATGTGGGTGGGACCAAGGGCACACCCAACTGCCTAAAATTGTGCAGAGCATCAACTTTTTCAATACATGACAAATGCATAATGATAATGTGCATGTGCATCCAAAAGCAAAATCAAAATCAATTATTCGATCAACAAAGGATGCCGTCCTTTTTTTTGTTTTTTTATATATCTAAAAGGGTGAGATACCGATTTATACCCGGATTTTGTAATTGATTCTATTTAGAGTTACGCGAATCTCTGTTCACCGAAGACGAGCCATAAAATTTATTCGTTTTTAAAAAAGAGTAATGTTACAAAATTCAAATGAAACACAATAAATTATAACTCAAATGTATATCATCTCTTGAATAAATGAGTCCTATCAATTTTTTTAGTATGATCCACTCATTTCATACTCATCTAAAGAATAATATACATTTGAATTTTATTTGGGTTATAATATTTTTCTACCTCAAAGCTTCTATAACAAAATTTTGTATTTTAACTATCTGAAAGTATACGTTTTTTATTTTAGCTTCTTATTTTTTTCCATTTTTTTATATTTTAACTATTTTTTTAAATATTTCTCGTATCTTGTACCTTTGTTGGGACTATTAAAGAGAGAAAGAGAAAAAATAGAGGAAAAAACAAAGACTGGACAAGAGAAGTAAAAATGACAAGAGAAAAAAGAATATATTATAAATTATTTATACATAATGTTACGGTGGTACTCTAAATAGAGCATCACTGTAGTAAAAATATATTTTACATACTCTGAACATCTTTTGTCGAAGCATTTTTTTGTTTTTGAATAGCTAAATATTTGAGAGTTTTAGTCATTCTCTCAAGGATGCTCTTTAGCCAGCATCTTCTAACTTGTGAACACTTTCGCTAAAAATTAATTTTTAAGATTATATTTTTTATTTTTTATCAATTAAAACAAAACATCACCAACGAGATAATAATATGCATTTAAATTTTAATTTTCTTTGGTTTCTTACTTAAAAGCATTTCCAACGAGATTTTGTATTTTATCTATCTAAAAGTGTACTTTTTCTTTAGTTTTGGTCTCTTGATAATTAGATTTTTAATTTTGCTTTCTCAATAGTTTAATTTTTTAATTTAATGATTGATTGTAATAAATTATATTTTAGGATAAATTATTTCGATTGATTGTTGTATTTTTATTTTGACTTATGAATGAGTGCTTTGATTATTTTATGTTATTATTTTTACAATTAATAATTATAAACAAATCAAAATAAAATCTATGTCTTACAAAAACATTTTTGGTAATGTAGCGAAGCCCGTGTGGTATACAACTTGTTACTATATAAAGTATATCTAAAAGTATGTCAGTCTTTTCCACATAGCCATCCATATTCCATAAGCATTCATTTCCTCTGAAGACCGATGGGTGATGAGTGACATGACAATTATGGATAGGATTTGTTAAGCTTGCGCCAAATTTGTATTCACATGGCTCGACTGACGGTTGATGGCCGGACTGTCAGTTGTTGGTCATCCCTGCCCACTTACATGCAACTGCATGGGAATGAAGACAAAGGCTTACCCCTCAATTCAAACACTACACCATAAAACTTCATCGTTTTTCTAGGATAAGAAGACTATGGTAGTTTACAAATAATTTTTTTGAAAGTTAAAGTATGACTTTGAGGGACATATTACATGTCTCGAAAGTCAAATGAATGACAATCGACCACAAAATTGTACTAATTTCATGTATTCATGCCCTTTGTGTGGTATTTTTTTTTGGTTACCCCTATAGCTAGTTGAAATGATAATGGCATGTGGGTGTCTCGCCCAAAGTTGCCACTTGCTTTAGCTAAAGTGGAGGTGTGTTTGGCCAAGCAACTTTTTTGTACAAAGTTGGTTTCCTAAAGACTTGGTTGGGTAATTAGTTTGATATCAAAGGTGTTTAACAAAAATTTGAGTGGCATGTGACAACTATACCCTAGGCACTCATCGTTATAACCCCTTGGTTCAGAAGATATATGTTGTTGTCTCTAGAGGTTTGCTCACTAACGCTATTATAAGAGGGTGTTCCGCGAAGGTGTATCAGGCTAGCTTCCCTAAGGACCTATATCCCCCTTAGTCTTGGCACACTAAAGAAAGGCACGCCCCCAACAACAAAATGTTTGTTATAGG